TAATCTTCCGGATCTCTCCACTAATTTGTTGTTCTCAGCACGGTTTTCSTAAAGGGAAATCTACAATAACTAATTTGCTTGAATTTGTATCACATGTATCAACGGGTTTTAGAGAGAATAAGAATACTGATGTTATATAYACAGATTTTAGTAAAGCTTTTGATAAAGTAAACCATTCAATTCTTTTAAATAAACTTGATCTTCTTGGTTTTCAACCAATATTTCTAAAATTGTTTGCTTCTTATCTTAGTAATAGAATTCAACAAGTCATATTTAACGATACTCTTTCCGACATAATCAATGTTCCTTCAGGCGTTCCTCAAGGTAGCCATCTTGGACCAATTCTGTTCCTGTTATTTATTAATGACATATCATCTGTTGTTTAGTTGTCAAAAGTTTTATTATATGCTGACGATGTAACACTTTTTGAAACGTATACTGAAGTACAGCGAAAGATGTCAGTTGCAAACAGCTAGTTCCTTGGTGTGATAGAAATGACATGTCATTGAAAACCGATGCGCTTTTTACATGGAGCTGTAGACCCTACTTCGTACGCATTACGAAACTTTAGGTTGGAGCAAATATGCAGTTTTGTTGATCTAGGAATAACTATGGACCCCAAACTCAATTTTAATCTTCACGCAGCTTCCACGGTTTTTGAAGCTAAAGGCGCCCTTAGTTCTGTTAAACGTTGGTCTAAAGAATTTAGAGATCCACTTACCACAAAAATTCTTTTTACTTCTCTGGTGAGGCCTATATTAGAGTATGCTTCGGTGGTTTGGAACCCTAGTTACCAAGTCCATTCGGATAAGTTAGAGTCCATTCAAAAACAATTTTTACTTCTTCCCTTAAATCATTTGTATTAGGATTCCAGTTTAAATTTCCCCCTAACACTAACCGTTTAAAACTTATAAATCCCCCGACACGGGCTAGTCGTAGGGAAAGGCTTGGTATAATATTTCTTGTAAAACTCATCAATGGGTCAGCCTGTAGCCCATCTCTCTTGTCTGATATTAATTTTAACATTCCTGCTCGCTCTACCAGGCATTTTAGACCTTTACTTTTAAAATTTTCTAGAACAAATTTGGAGTTAAATGAACTATTCCGCCGTATATGTCACGATTTCAATTCTCATCTCTTTACCATTAAAAAAAATTATTTTATCTACTCTTAACACGTAACATTTCAAAATTATAAACTTTAATCTAATTCTTAGTTTTGGCTGTTGAAATTTTTGTTTCTGTAGCTGAGCAGCTTAAGATCGCCATGCTTAAAACTCCCTTGCCTTTTATGACTCGGCTATTTCCGCTCGTTCGCGGATCGCGCCCCTCGCGTCGGTTGTGAGGGAGGAGGGTAATCGTTGGGTATTATTATTATTATTATAACATTTTCCATCATGAAAAAATTTCATTAATTCTATTTATATTTTAGAACAGCTGGATGAGTTAGCAAGGAAGGGCATCCTAGAATCACTATCGGTAGAATGGGAACTGATCGGTGCTCCTGTATCCTCTTGTTTTCTACTATTAGATAGCTGCGGCACGCGGATGCTTGCTCAACGCTGGGACAGCATCGGTACTTGTGCGGTTGCAAAAGCCTTTTGGCCCAGGGTAGATCGCATGAGATCTATTAGCCCTCAGTAAGGCTAACCTCTCATTAGTAGTGGGACTCTTAACAGGCCACTGCCCTATTGGCATATATGCGGTAAGAATGGGTATCTTACCGGATACCGACGATAGAAGCTGTTTAGAAGAAGATGCGGTAGAAACAAGCCAGCACTTCCTGCTTGACTGTCTCGCTTTTGGGAGGTCAAGGCTTAGACATTTATGGGTGCATACCTTCGGTTATCCCATTGAACTGGCGGGTGTTGAAGTTAAGCGCCTGTATAATTTTATATTGGCTACAAAGCGCTTCGCCAATCTGTAACTCCGCACATGGGAGTTCTTTTTCAATGGAATCACAATGGACTACTTAGTCTACGTGGGATCTTTGATCAGCCATCTAATCTAATCTAATCTAACCTTACTTATATAGAACAGTCAGAACTTTAGAACAACAACAATCACACCGTTTCACGGTTAATAGATGCAGAACAAATGACAAATAACGCCAACAGGTCATTTACATCTGATTCCTTTTTGCATCTAGCATTACAGTAAGAGCCCGATATTAAATATTATGCTCATTCAAAAGTGGTAAATGCTGCTATGGATAAGGAATGTCCGCATTGTCATGCTCTCAAATAAGCCACCTGGTATGTGTTGCGCGTCAGGAAAAATGCAAATATTTGAAATTGAAACACCACCTGAACCATTAAATGGTTTACTTATCAAGCTTCGAACATTCAATTTATACTTTGACATCGTTTGGAGTAACATAAATAGTTCGAAATACTAATGCTAATGGTCAACAATACAATTCTACATTCAAAATCAGAGGCCAAGTTTATCATAAAATAAGCTCATTGCTGCCAATGAGAAACGAACCACATACATTTTTACAAATCTATTTCATTGGCGGCGAGGAATCCTGAAGCGCATTTGCCACATTTGCTATAATAAATTCATTCATTAGATTCATTTTTTGCCATCTGCATCTTCAGCGACTTGGCCGCCATATTGAACGAACACAATGAATTGTTGAAAATATTTAAATCACACATCACAATTTATAAAGCGATAATCACGCTATTTCAGTATTTAAGCTGCCACTAAATATTCAAAATAAACCTGATGCAGTGTGGAACATTAAAAAACAATCCACCGTGCTGAAACACTGTAAAACTATTATCTGGAATGAATGTACTATGGCACATAAACATTCAATTGAGGCGTTGAACAGGACACTGAAAGATATTAAAAACAACGAAAAATTATTTGGTGGCGTAATGTTGAAAAAGTACAACTGAAAGTAAATATGATCCATTCCCAGAACAACTCTTAGATATCAGTGATGGAAAAGTTGCTACAGATGAAACTGGATACGTAAAATTACCAACCGATTTCTGCACAATCGCTGATTCGCACTCTCATTTAAGAAATATTTCCCGATGTACACACACAGAACATAAATCATTAGTGGCTTGAGCTATTTTAGCAGAAAGAAGTTGACAATTTAAATTTGAAGATACAACAGTTGTTGAGACGGAACTTGCTATCATACAAATCTATTGATACAGTTTGCGGTGCCAGCTTTAGCTGTCAATTTTCCCACAGAATTTTTTAACTCACTGGATTTACCAGGCATGCCACCGCATAATTTGCAACTGAAGGTTGGATCTCCAATTATATTGTTTCTTATTTTAAACCTGCCTCGGCTGTGCAACGGTACGCAATCAGTCATTCAAAAATTGATGAAAAGCAAGGCTAAACGATGTTTATTTGTGGCTTAGATTTGGTTACACTATAGGGGTATTCTCTTGCTCTTGCAAAACCCTTGAAAATATTTTCAAGGGCTGTAAAATATGTCAGACCAATTTATTTTCGTTTATTTTCGTGCAATGACATGCAAAAATATGAGGAAAGTAAATTTTAAATAGATTTTATACTTTCTATTTAAATTATAAAGATATGTTACAGTTTTTTTTATTTTTAACAATAAGTGCAGAAGGTGCGAAAATTCACAATAGCCATGCACAATAGTCATTTACAATAAATTGACCGAATCAACCGTTCATATATCACTAGATTCTCTAATGGGTGCTCTCGTGCCCTTATATGTTTCGGTATAGGACTTTTGCAATCTTGCAAGAGCAAGAGAATCCCCCTCATGTTTTTCGCACAGGCAATTGACGTAATATGCTCTCGAGTGGGTAAACCATCCAGTTTGTTTGTGCTCGCTAAAGATGGTTTAACAAAAATTATTGTTTACGCTATAGGTTAGTATCCAGCTCTCAAGAAATGTAAAAACTTCATTTAAAAAAAACGCAAGAAATGGTCGATAAAATTTCCTGCGATAAATTTTCTAGAATGCAGCTCTAAAGAAATCTAGTGCTAATTTTTAATAAATTTTTTCAATAAAATGGGAATATGACAAACCTGGTTTTACGAAGAAACTTGAAATCAACAATTGTTTGGTGAAGGAAATTCAAAGTAATCGTTAAATTCATAGTCAATTGGGCCCCTATTGTGAGTTGCATTCGATCTTCGACAACGATCGAAAATGCTGGTCGAACGAATTTGCATTTGGTACTACGACGCTCATTCGATGAAGATTGGCGTTATTGTGAATTGCAATCATTTTGAATGTTCACGATAGTATACATCTGTCAGATGGCGTAAAAACTGAAAGCGTTTTCTTTACGAAGTGTGAAAGTAAAACTAACAAATATTTTATAAATAAAGAAAATATAAATAAAAGTTAAAATAAAATATGACTACGACTGAGTTGTGGTTTGGCGATTCTTCAGAGGAGGATGAAAGCTTACTGGAATTGGCTAGAAATAGAAAGAAGCTAAGGGACGCTTCCAACCCTTTGGAATTGGATTCCGCTACGTAAGTACAATGCTATTTGTTAGAGGTTTCTACATGTTCAACATTTAGGAAATTTTATTTGTAGATTTATAAAAAACTTCCGTTTGTCGACAGAGGCCTTTGTTGATTTGCTTTCCGCTACAGAGGAGATGCTGCAGCGATGCACACGAGCGAAATCTATTCCCAATTACTAAAATTGGCAACAGTTTTACGATGCTCATGTATACGGAATGAAAACATGCTTGGACTTGCACAGCCCACGGTGTCTGTGGTACTATCTGAGGTACTCGATGCCCTGGAGAATTTCATTTGCCAAAGATGGATAAAATTCAATATACCGAGGCTGAAATGCAACAGGCAAAATCACATTTTTATGGTAATACCAGATTTCCTGGGGTAATCGGTTGTGTTGATGGTACACACATCAAAATAGTGGCTCCCAAAAAGGAGTTGCAGCATTTATATTACAACAGAAAAGGATTCTTTAGCATTAATGCTATGATTGTAAGTATGCATACAAGTTTATCGTAAATTTGTAGTTGAGCATTTTTGGCTTTTATATTAATTACAGGTTTGTGATTATACAATGAACATACGGTATATAAATGCAAAGAATCCGGAGGCAACGCATGATTCAATGATTTTCAACATGTCAGCATTGAAAGCATATTTAGAACAGCAAGTCGAAAATGGTCTTCGCAATACTTGGCTACTTGATACATATATGTTTGACTAAAAAAGCAGAACGTTATATTTTTTAGAATAAATTTTTTTTCTGAATATGAGACGCTGGATACGCTCTGAAAACTTATTTGATGACACCTTTTACAAGTTCTGAAGGTGGACCCAAAGAGTTTAGCTCCAAAGCAAATCCCTCCCATTTTGTTGCCGCCTGAACTTTGGTGCAAATACCTCTCGCAAATTGTGGATTTTCTTCCATTAAAGCTACCAGTTTTTCCAATTGCTGTTTAGTGCTCACGACTTTCGACCTGCATAAAATTAACAAGAATATTATAAATTAATTATTTGTTACCATACAGCAATAAATAAACGCAAAAAACCTACATTTTCACAAATTTCCATTCACTACGCTACGCTGTCGATAGGTAAATTCTGTTCGACAGCCATTTCGATGCTCAACGAAAACTTCGACAGGGTTGCATAGCTCATAATACCAATTTGACATTCGATTTTCGATAGCCAGCGAATAGCGAAGATCGAATGCAACTCATAATAAGGGCCTTAGTTAAATTCATTATTATGAAGTATATTTCTTTTTGAAATGTTGTATAAAACTTACCAATTATCAAGAACATTCCTTAAATCGCAAGGAAAATATTTATGTTACAATACACATACGTGTACATGTATACATATATATATGTATATTACGCAGACAATTTATTTTCTTCGTTTATTCTCTCTTGCTCTTCTAATGTGGATCATTCGCAATGCGTAACCAGCTGTCAAAATTACTTGAAGAAATAATGTATTTTTTTCTTGAGCAATTACTTGAGAGCTTGACACGGACCTTATAGCATTAAAAGGTTGATGTTGTTTGTTAGTGTTACTGTCATTATTAATATGTGATATGTAATTTTAAGAAATAAACTATAATAACTTAAAAATAAAAAGGCCAAACACTTTGTTATATTATATTCCCTTATCCATACGAGTATATACCACATACTTACTCACGTATAATAAGTAAGTTACTTTTTGTCTACACTAGAATTTATCTAGAAACTATAATAATTTATAAGGCAAAACAATGTTCGCCGGGTCAGCTAGTAATGTTATAATTTTTACTGTTAATAAATAATTATTAGCCATTAACTTTTGTGACCGGACGTTAGTTTGTGAATAGTTTTACTGTATCGTGAATAGTATGAAGTCATAAATAAAGGCTTTGTTTTTAAAACTCTTAAATAATGAATACAGACTGCTAGCTGAATACCGATATACCTTTATGTTGTTGTAATCGATTCAAAATTTTGTCTAATATTGAGGGTTTTAATCACATGCTGACATAGGAAATGTTTGTGGAAATATATAAAATCCGGTTGAATCCCAATGTAGTTTTACCTTACTTTCTATGTTTAGGATGCCAAGCCTTTTCACTTATATTTCTCACACTGTACTGTCCTAGTCTTTTTCACCGAAGCCGGTTCCATATGCTCATTCTAACATACATTCATTCTCTCTGTTTACATGCTATGTATTTACTTATGTATATATCTTTGCAAATGGACACATGAACTTGTGAGACATGAATATATGTCTCCACACAATGACAACGAAGAATGTGTTTAAATGAATACAAATGAACTTTAAAAGAGAATCAACAATAACTGAAAACGAATCTTAAGTTAACGGGATATATCTACATTAACCCTTCAATGGTTTACTC